AGTGTATTCGTTTTCAAGTGCGGTGTTATCGGTGGGGTTTCGAGTGGTAAAGGCCCATGACCCTGTCCCCGCCCACTCCCCCTCCCCCTCCCTAGTAATCGGGCCACATGAAAGGTGAAACAAAATTTTGTTATGGTGATATAGCTAAAAGGGCCAGAAACGTGAGAACGAACGTCTTTTTGTGTGACTTTCGGGAAAGAATTTGACACCACTATCATAATTAACTGAAAATTGCACTTTTCATTATCCCATGCTTTTTCTCACGAATGAGGGCGCTGTTACTGTGATGTTCCGGTGCAAGACAACAATCACAAAAAAAAGAGACAAACTTAGACGGCAACATATTCGACACTGTGGCATTGTTATGACACAACAATATCACGGTGAGGTTTCTTCCATGAAACAGCTCTCTCGGACGCTTTTGATTTTACACGACGATCTGCGTACATATTGAGTGCCATTCCAATGGCCAAATAAAACTTGCAAGATTGAACGGGGAATAAATTTAGGCGCATTTACACAGACTGCACTGATAATAGCACTGATGTGGCCCTTCGAGGGTGACGGCGACGTGACAATTCACCCACGTGCTCTCTGGTTCGAGTCTTGATCTGTCGACGTCACGCTGAGACCTACATTTTACTTTTCCAAAAAGAAGCTTCATTTGGTTTGCTCTAAATATGTAACTAATATTTCTCGTCAGTAGTTTTGTTTAATACGTTGTTTTTGTTTGGATTTGTTTACTTTTGCTTTATTTTCATTGTTTTGGGGGGCTGATAGGTAAACGTACCGGAAAGTTACCTTCTCCGTCCTCGCCGTTTTCCATTCGACCAAAAGGGAATAAATGGCGTGTACTAAAAGGCGGTCATTTTCTTTTATTTAGATGCGGAAATGCTGACGTGCGGGGACATAATTTTTCTGTACGAGGAAGATCGAAATAAAAATATTTGCAGCCCACAACCTCAACAATTCGTCACCAACACCACGAAATATTTTATAGCAATGTGATGTTTTCGTTTTCACGAAGAGGCACAAATGTCTTGCGTCACGTACTCAATGATTTGCCGTATTCAGAAATTGACGTTCTCCTTAATTTACACAGTTACGAGTTTCAAGAGCATTTTTTCAGTTTAGTCACCCATTTACGGGTAAAATAAAATCAGTTTAGACATTTAAAGCTTTTTTTCATATGCTATATTGACAAACACACATTTGTGCTTCTTCGTGAAAACGAGTTTGTTCGATAATGCACGAGTGTACAATATGCGCGCGCACCCATTTGTGTCACTTCGTGAAACAAAAACTGTTCTAATCACGGTTTTCACGAACTGGCACAAAATTGAAGATGTGTGTCAGTTCGTGCTGTTGGTGACGAATTATGTAGTCCGTGTTGCCCATATTCCAACTCAAACTATGAGATATGAGGGGGCATTGGCAGCCAAGAATCACCACAGAGCTCGAGACGGACCAGTACAGCGCTTAACAGATTATCGGTCCGTAGGGGGAGGCGAGAGGGTACTGTTAAGAGATATGCCAAAAGGAAATTGACCATCGCCCCCTCCGTAGCGGCAGATGCCAAATGGGGGGGGGGGCAAATGCCCTCGATGCACTCACCCCATCTTCCTTATTTTACTAAGCTGATTTAGGGAATCCAGTGTTTTGACGGGTTGTGGACTGCCTCGACCGCTCGACGAGGATCAATGCACTTTTTTCACCTTGCATCATCACCAATAATCGTCGAAATTATACAGGCAGATGTTTGTTTGAATTCCATTTGTTTCTTTGCGGGAACCAGATCTCTGTCGGTCGTGTGTCATCTGTGGACGGCGTAGGGTGATCGGAGGACCCATGGGGGTAACGCAAGGAGCTCGTTTGAATGACTCTTTCACGGGACCATCCTGTAGTTATAGGATGAGAGGTCGGATAGGCCAGTTGGAAGGGTCACATCGAAATAGCCAAACCAAAATTCAATGGTATTATCCATTGGCGCTTAGCCCCTCTCTCACACCTTACACCCCCCCCGTCTTCCAGGGGATCGCATCCCTGCAGCACTGCAAAAATTCAAATAGGCCTCATTCAAAAATTGTTTTGAGTACAAATTGAGTTTCGTTTCGTGTGGCCCACTTCAGTGATGGGTCCTGATCCTCTTGCCTACCAATTGGAGAATCAGGGCTTGAGGAAAAGCCTATTCTAACTCTGACTTCCCTCTTTTCACCACGGACCTGCCTCTGCAACCCACGTTGAGGTTCGTGTCGGGAAATGGAATTAACAGACATTCAGATAAGAAACCTCGCGTATCTTCTTGATTTGAAAACGGAATCCAAACTTACGTTTTGTTCGTTTGAGGCCAGCATGTGAAACTGTTTTTTGAAACAGGCACAAGTCCCATAGAGCCTTAATCAGTTTCAGTGATTAAAATATACATATGCATAAAACAGGTCAAGAGTTGTATGTTTTTATTTCTGCTCCCTGTTAAAGCTTTGAATTTAGCTGTAAACTC